TGCTGTCTCACACCCCCCCCCCCACCACGGTTATTGTACCATCATCATGTCCATCTTGCAGATGAGGAAACGGTTTCAGGTGGCTGGGGAGGGGAAACGTGTGGGGTAGGTGGCAGACCCAGGGCAGCAGGCCCCACCCACCTGCCCTTCTCTGCCCACAGTGGGAGCCAGCTTGCCAGACGCCACAGCCCTCAGCACGCGCCCACTCGGCCCCTGGCTCTGGGACCACTAGCCGCCCAGGGTCCATCAGGAGGAAGCTGCAGCCTTCGGGTGAGTCTTTAGGGAGTGGGCCAGGCTGCCCTTATCTGAATGGGCTTTTTCTTTTCTTTCTTTCTTTTTTGTTTTTGAAGTTTATAAAACTTCTCCAGAACCTGTTTCACAACCTTCCCCGGCCCTGGGATAGTAGCCAGGGCAGACAGTGCTGGGCCCAGCCCTCCGGGCTCCTAGCAGGGCTGCTGCCATGAAGCCCAGGACACAGTCCTCTGAACCTCTGAGGATGGGCTGGTTGGGCTCATGCAAGATACACCGTCCAAGGCAGGCCTTGGCTCCGGGGGGGGTAGAAGGGACAAGGCTCACCTGTCCCAGATGAGGAGTGAGCCAGGCCACAGGACTAGAATGCGGGGCTCCAGCCCCCAGCTTGGCCCACTCACAGAAGGGCCTGGTGAGTGTTTGAGTCTAAAGGAAGAGGGGGGCAGCAGGGTCCCGGGGGGTCCTGGCCCAAGGTGGGCCCACCGGTGAGATACCTGTTGCTTTGATTTCAGCCTGACGGCTGGGGCTGCAAAGTCTCCAGGTGAGTGTCGGGCCCGCAGCCCAGGGCTGCCCATCCAGCCGCCTGGCCGCCTCGGGTTGCAGGGCTGTGCCGGGAAGCTGGCTGCTCAGGGCGGGGTCTGGGGTCCGCTGCCTGCTGCCTGGGTGCTTCTGCAGCTCCCTCCTGCTCTGGGACAGGGGCCAACAATCCTGGTGCTGACAAACCCTCCCCCTCCCCCAGGGAAGTCGAGGCCATTGCCTGTGTGATGGACATGCTCACTCTGCCGGACGAGGGACTGGGTCCTGACGCCTGCCTGGCCTGTTCCCGCTGCAGCGCCTGGAGCCCGCAGGGCAGAGGCCAGAGTGGAGGCTCCTCGTTCGCCCGTCTACCCTCAGAGATAAGAAACACGCTCAGAAGGAAATGGTGTCTCGGCTGTGGCTCTGGGCGCAGGTGGCATGGGCTGGCCCAACCCTCCCCAGCCTGCAGGGCCCCTCCCTAGTGGGTGGGCTGAGGAGCCCCCGGAAGGCACAGGAACAGTGGGAACTGGGCGGTTGGTGGGCGGCCCTGCCCCACTCTTCCCTGGCTCCCAGGCAGGAGGAGTGTCTCACTGGGCGTGTATAGAGTGTCCCTAGGTGCACACAGGAGCACGGCCCTTGCCGCCACGGGCCAAGCTGTATTTATGGCTGGCAGGAGGCCAGTGGGTGGGGATCTTGCTGCTCCCCCTCATGTGCCTGGCACCAGGCTATCACCTTGCCCACTGGCCTCTTGACATTTTCCTCCCTCTGAAATCCTATTTAAGAACTTTTGGAAGCTTAGCCATTTTTACTTATTAAAATAACCTTTTTACACAAGCACCGTCTGGAAGAGTTGGTCTCGTGAACCCCTGGTCAGGTCGCAGGGGGCAAGCAGGGCACTGGCACGTGCCATTGGCTCCCCACTGCTGGCTGGTCACCAAGTCAGGATCATGTTTTTCTGAACATTCCTGACTAGGAGGGGGGCCACCTCCCCCCAACCCCGTCCTTATCATGACTGTGACCCATACAACAGTGTTGTCACCTCCATCTTATAGATGGGAAACTCAGGCTCTCCAAAGGCTTGCCAAAAACCCAGCCGGAGTGGGCCCCACTCCACCACCTGCCCTCTGCCCTGGCCTTGCCCCCTTAGGTGAACTGGCCACAGGTGAGTGCCGCACCCCTCCTCCCTCTGCCTCTGCCGACAGCACCCCACCCACCAGGGCAGCGCCCCCCGACGCTGCTCCCCACCACGGGGGTTGTGCTGGCCTGCACCCCGTCCCAGCCTTGGGGAAACATGGGCAGGGCTCATTGAGGCCCTCCCACCAAACTGGGGTGGAACCTGCCTCAGGAGCATAAGGGACGACCCCTGGGTCAGGGGAGCAGCCAGCCAGCACTGGGGGGCTCCTGCAGGGAGTGAAAGCTGTTTGGAGGATGGGGCAGCTGCCCTTCCAGTCCTATCCCTGGAGGCCTCCTGGAGGAATGGGGGAGGGTGGTGGGCCCTGGGCCAGCCTAGTGGTGGCCATGCCTGCAAGGCTGGGGTCCTGGACCCCTGCAGTGTACACCTGCTGGCCCTGGAGGCATCCACGGGACAGTGGGAGTGTGGCTGAGACAGAGAGGATGAGCTGATGAGCCCACTCCTCACCTGTTTCTCCTACAGCCGTGAAAGGGGGAGTTGCTGGGTCCCTCTTCTCCCCGGAGCAAGTCTGAACTTACCCCTTCCCGCCGGCCCATCGCTCTGCTGCCCCCTGCTGGCCACGCTGCCTGCTGCACCGCCTCTGGGTCTTGGAGAAGGAGTGGTCTCATCTCTGAAGAGCCAGGCAGGCAATATGGGGCCCAGGAGAGCCTTGTGGCCAGAGGCTGCACCTCCCAGCAAGGAAAGCAGGGAATAGTTACAAATTTAATAAAATTCACTTTATAAATTACAGCAGCAGCCCCAGGGCTCGGTTCGCTGCCCCAGGAAGCAGGAGTCGGACAAAGCTGGGCAGCTGTTGCTGGAGAGAAGTTGTCAGAGTTTAGGGCTGTGGAGGTGGCCAATGGGCCAGCGCCACCGCCTCGAGGATGACCGCAGGGCAGCAGTGGGGGCCGGGCAGAGGCTCATGGGCCGGTGGGTGCACAGGGAACAGGAGTGGGGGGGGCCAAGGCCAGGCCTGAGGGTGCTACCACCCTCTGGGCTCCTCAGTCCAAACTGGCCATGAGCAGGTGCAGCTCGCGGAAGGCACTGCCGTGGCGGCCACTCAAGCCCGACTTGCTCTTGACGAGGCCACTGATGCTCCTGAGCTGCTTGTAGCAGACCCGGCACTTGTGCAGCCTGTGGGCAGAGGGGCCACGCTTGAGGTGTCTGGCCGGCACGGTCACCGTTACCCCCACCCAATCCCGGAGCCTTTCCTGTACGAATCGCTCCAGCCCTCCTCCCGGAGGAAGGCTGAGGCCCAGAGTGCTGGACCCACTGAGGCTGGGCCAGGGCCCAGGGCAGAGCCAGGCCATGTGGGAACCAAGGCTCTGGCAACCCTACCCCGTGCCCCGAGCCACCATCTCGGGCACAATGACCTCTATAAGCTATTTCAGCA